ATGGTGTCAATAAAGACACAAGCACAGCCACTTGGGATTGTCTCTGGTACAGCCACAAGGTTACCTTTTGCTGAATTGTCAACAAATAGAGAATACGTATTCGTCTTTGGTAACCCGAAGACGAAACCATTGAGAGGATTCCCAGCACTCAGCCGGAACCGTAGAGCTGTAAAGGTGCACCAGTGAAGGACTTATTCACTGTTGGCGACTTGCATGGCGAACAACTTTGCACAAACTGAATGGCGGGGCCTAAAAGTCTCGACTTACGGAGATATTTTTTCGGCCACGTGTCTCCTATAGGAGCTGTGATACTGAACATGATCCGCAAACCAGATCAGTATTATCTGGAATGAACACGGGGTCACCAGAAAGCTGCAAATACAGTAAACCGTTACGAGTAGTGATCGATCTGATGCAGATCGATACGCAGGCGACAATCGTTTCAACAATTTGAGGTTGGGAGTGTGACAACAACTTCACTATCTCACCATCTTGGGCGTATGCGCCTCACATCATCATACAACTTGTAGATGGCTGAGGACAAACCCAACAGTGACGCTCTGTTGGTTTCGGATGTTCAAATCGGGACGACGACATCACACGACATTAAGTCTCCTGGTTTGACTGACTGATTGTATCTGCAAAGAAGACAACACCGCGCCATTCGTTGTGAAAGGTGCGGGCTGTTCACTGCTCTAATGACCATGGTCAGTTAAACAATGAAGGTCTACTCCTAATAGTAGACTGAATTATGCACTTATGGCAGGATTTGTCATGCACGTTCACTGCACTACCGCTATAAACACCTTCAACCCTTCAAGTCGTACTATTAAGCACACCATTGAAACGCTGGACACCCACTGAAATGGCTGTATTGCTAGGATGGGTTATCAACTGCTTAACCTCAAGTTGTTAGTTCTACCTCTTTTTACACTGCTTTGCAAAATATGTTGTCGACCAGTCGGTGACGCCTTGATCTTTGGTCGACTACACCTTCTTACCACGTGCACCCAAGAGGGTTGTCAAAATACACTGAACAATCTTGAGGATTCAGGGTAGGAATGCTTACTATGACTACGAACGTACGAAATAACTCGGATTGTACTGTCAACGTATAACACTGTTGAACGTCAGGGCATTACTGAGCCCTTGTGGCATTACTAGCCATTCCCAGAGCATGCCGCTAGGCTCTAACTCGGTATAGGGTATATCCGTTCCCCATTAGGATTTGATAGAAGTCATCCATCAAATCCATGGACGAAAAGATGGTACTCTTCGACATACCATCAATGATTACGTCCTTCCTCGTATCGGCGTCTGAGCCGGTACCGTTGCAGCGTTCAATTTGTTGAACGCGTCATATCCGCCACCCTCCTGTTGCTTTTCACACAGAAGGTCGAGAGCTATGTGGGGAAGTTGATTCCCACATGGCCCCTGCTAAACGATCGGCAAAGAACTTGTCGATCGCAAGTACTTTTCACGAGGCAGTGGCCACTGCTTCATGACACAGTACTTCGAGCCTGTTTAAGCTCGACTTCGTGTCGAATACCTTTATCCTTGGTAATTCGCACGGAACAGTTTCAGGAATACATCCTTGAATTCAACCAAATCTTCATAGAGAGATTTTCCTTGAGCGATTCCCATGATTGGGACTCATATCGCTCAATTCGTGTCTTTTCATCTTGGACACTCTCGTCCATAGATGAACTACTGAGAACTCTCTCGTTCTCAGTAAACACTGTTGCTGACCTTATGTCGGTTACACACTCGTCGTCAGCGACGAGTATGCAGATCTGATTGACTTTGCCACTACGCAGATCACGCAAGAACCTTTTATGTTCGAGCGTTGGCAACTGAGTGATCTCCGAAGTTAACTTCGGAGGCGCAATCAGATCAAGTGTATAAGCGCCTACACATGATCCGTTATTGAGTATGACATTCAATGTCTCTGTCATTTCCTGGGGACTTATTCCCTCAGGCTTCGAAGGACTTATTCCTTCGTCTTCCCGGGGACTTATTCCCGCGGGTTTCGGGGAACTTATTTCCGCCGTATTTGTAATCTTGGGACTTATTCCCTTAACTTCCTCTAGCTGTGGTTGCGCAACCACAGCGAGATCCTCTACGAAAGACTCTCCAGTCGATCTAGGATTATCATTTCGCTTAACCTGAGCGATCGATGGTTTCTCTTTTACATGTTCCCCGCTAGGGATACATCTTTGTCCCGGTCCGCTCGACCTATTCGAGCGGTGGACCTTCGGCGCAGCCTGTGTTTCCTCACAGCCGGCGGAACTTTGCTCCGAAGTGTAACCGTTTGGTACACTAAGGTTTTGTGCAGTCGTACTAACGACCGTACCACAAGTGAGGCCATCGCACTCACTCGTAGTACATCCACACGCTTGTGGACGCTCCAAAACGTTCATCAGATGGCCATCTGATGAACAAGCGGCAGGCATCGTTACTGTCCGATGTTGCCAGTTTACCCGTGGTTCGTACCTTCTGAGCCACGGTATTCCAAGGATGACATCAAATTTGTCATCCAAATCCAATACGATAAAGTCATCGTCATATTGGGTATCTTCTAGCGTATAGCGAATCTTCACTATACGCTTCATGACGGTTACGGATGCCCTGTCGCAAGACGTACCGTCATCCTCGTAGGAGGTGTGTCACATTCACTGAATTTAAAGTGACCATCTTCTAGCGATTGGCGTCGCACAAAATTGTTAGACGCCCCACAATCGACTAGAGCTCGAAGGGACAACTTATTCGTCACTTCGAGTTTCAAGGTAATGAGTGAGATCTCATTACCTAGAGCAGCAACGCACAACGTCTGTGTGTTGGGAGCAACCTTCATCAAGAGGCCTACAAATTTTCTTGACGTTGCTGGATCAGTAGGGTGCTCCGCACCTACTGATCCTGTCCGTTTTTTGACGGTCCATCCCGTTGTTGCGTCTTTGCACCAACTGCGGACCCTCGTCCCTGCCCCTTTCTCATGGGTGGACGGTCACTACGCCCGGTGTCGCGAGACACTGACGAGGGGCACTACACTCTAAGCGTAGTGTCCCGTCTTCTGACATCTGTTGCATCTCTGCAACTTCTTGTAGCCTGTAGAGCGAACCTTCTCGCTCTCTACATAACAGAGTTCCATCGGCTCTGACCTCCGTTGTCATATCGTCTCGGTTGACGATATGATGTCGAGCTGGCGCGAGCCTGTCTCAGACTGAAGTCTTCCTGCTCCGCAATGGAAATGGCTTGTTCTAGTGAATCTAGTTCAAGCCGGAACAGGTGAGTCTTGACGGGACCATCCGCAAGACCCTGCATGAACACCGAAACCAACGTGTGTTCATCCACTGGATTGGAACTTATACAACTCGTAAGATGTCGTATATGTTGAGCGTAAGCGTGCACATCACGCTTACCCTGCTTGAGCTTCAAGAGTTCGGTTCGAGCCCTGAACTCAGCTCTAGGCGGTTCAAACGTTTGTCTGAGCCGCGACTTGAAGACTTCCAACGACCCAAACGCATATGGGTCTCAGCTTGAGCCCCAGTGCCCAAGTCTTGGCACGTCCTGCCAGATTTGATTGGGCAAATGCAACTTGCATATCCCCGTCGTCGATGCGACGCGCCCTTATGGCGTCATCCAATTCGACAAACCATCTCAAGAGGGAGTCTTCTTCGACCCCTCTATACTTTGAGATGTCAATTTCAAAGTCTCGGGTCGACGCGAGTGCATCGACCCGCCAGCAGCAGCCTGCTGCTGTCTCAATAGTTCAAACTGTTGAGCACCTTGTTCTCTCAACAACTCTGCTTGTTGAGAACCTTGTTGGTGAAGCAAGGCTACTTTCTGCGTTCAGCGTCAAGTTCATTTTGAATGAACTTGGCGATAGTAGCATGTTGGGCGTCTCTATTGAGAGCCTCTAGCATACGCTAACAGCATGGATGCCCATGGTCGAACCCATTCGTTCAACCGCATCCCATTCGACATCGCTCAAATGGGAGTAGCCGTCACGCGTAGCGTGAAAGCTTTGTCATCTTCATCATCCAACATATTCATGTTGGATGTGAACGCGGTCCTTGACGGACTACGAAGTGCTACCAGGTGTAACGGGGCACCCTGAAGCTTGTACTGGTGACAGTACAAGCTACTTATTCTGATAACAGAATAAGGCGGTGCCTCGTAACTTCACGTACACTCGTACGTGCAGAGGAAGACGGTAAGAAGAAGCGAGTACTTGGTTAGAGTAAAAGTAGAACTGTATTTATAATAGTTAATGTCTGCAATAGATCACTATTTATCTTCATCTAACTATGTCTAAATACAAATGTTAAATCAGTTATCTGCTCACCACTCATTGCGTGCGTCTGTCGTGCGCTCTTCGTTGGTTGATATAATGGCCTATATCAACCAATTAGGAACTACTTGTAAGTGCTACAGAATATTTGTCCTTATGACAATATTCTGAGAATATAACTCTTATAGTTATATTCTATTAACAATTTCTTATAAATTGTTATGTAACGATTCACCCCGTTACAAAACTCAGCATCCCACAACATCATACCGTCGCTCCGTTCCATCCTGTTTCAGCCCGTGAGTATGTGCGGTTCAAGACTATAAAGAACCCCGAAAACGAGGTCGCCGCGCCCACCCCACCTGCCTCCGTCAATGAACTGTGCTTTCTAACACAGAAAGCCCCGCGGTCTATTTCGCTGAATGTTTGCATGTAACATGTCTCAGTATTTGGAGCTCAAGACTGACCACTTTCGTGCATGTTTCCATAGAACTCGCTTCCTCGTTACACTTGCAGTGGTGCTGTAGTCGGATTGTGTGTGGATGTTCCTTTGGTCGAGCCTTACTATAAAGTTTACTGGCATCATCTTGAGCGTACTCGAACATGTTTGATACAAAATGAAAAAAAAATTCATCCTACAAAGCGTTTTTTTATCGCCTCATTTTGTACTAATCATCTAAACAGTCAGTTTTTCAGCCACTCATCACACATGCTGGCACATCGCCGAGCAAGAGTCGCCCCCCATGCGCGTTGTGCAGCGCTTCGAGCGATGAGCATGATCAATAGCACTCCTCAATTCGATGTGATCGTTGTTGGCGGTGGTCATGCAGGCTGCGAAGCAGCAGCTGCTGCTTCTAGAACTGGTAAAAAGCTTTGTTTTGGCATTAATAAAGTGAATGGTAACTCCGCAACCGTTTCAAATGTAACCTTATTGCGATAATTTGCTGTGCTATCAGGGGCTAAAACAGCGCTGGTGACGCAAAAGCTAGCAACAATTGGCGAAATGTCATGCAACGTACGTTTAATAATTACGATGCTTGTAAAATGTGTGTACTACTTTTCTAATGCATTTAATTGATCGTGAATTGACACTGTTTAATGCTTGCGTGCATGTAACTCTAGCCGTCAATCGGTGGTGTGGGCAAAGGCACGTTGGTGCGGGAGGTAGACGCTCTAGGCGGCCTTATGGGGCAAGTGGCCGACTCGGCGGGCATCCAGTTTCGGATGCTGAATTTAGCTAAAGGGCCGGCGGTGAGAGGTCCACGAGCTCAAATGGACCGAGATTTATATCAGCAGGGAATGCAGGAAGCACTGAAAAAACTGCCTAATTTATGGTTAGTAGAAGAGGGTGTGGACGATCTCATGCTGGAAAAACGAAGTCGAAGAGAGAAAGACATTGGGGACCAAGTGAAGGGGATTGTGACATCTTCTGGTCGTGAGATTTTGGCAACAAAGGTAGTAGTTACGACTGGCACTTTTCTTCGTGGTGTGATCTACCAAGGACCAGATATTCGGATTTCAGCAGGACGACACATGCGCGATTCCGACGGACTTGAACCCCCAGCTGTAGGACTTGCAAAGACACTCGAACGTTGCAAGTTTCCGCTTGGCCGACTGAAGACTGGAACCCCACCGAGACTTGACGGACGCACTATTGACTATGCAGGTCTCGAAGTCCAGCCCAGTGATGACTCGCCAAAGCCTTTTTCATTTTTGAACGAGCATTCTCCGGTGCCTCTGGCTAGTAAGCAGGTGGTTTGCCACGCTACATATACTAACGAGGAAAGCCATCGTATCGTGCGTGAAAATCTGCACATGCTGCCGCAGTATGACGGAGGTCGAGATGGTGAAGGTGTGGGGCCGCGGTATTGTCCGTCCATCGATGCCAAGGTTGTTCGCTTCGCTGACCGCTCGAGGCATCAGCTTTGGCTTGAACCCGAGGGATTGAAATCCCAGATTGTTTACCCGAATGGTATCAGTACCGCGCTGCCTAAGGAATTGCAACTCAAGTTGCTTCGCACGATCAAGGGCCTCGAAAAAGTGGAGCTTGTGCGCGCTGGATACTCCGTCGAGTACGATTACGTGGACCCACGATCGTTGCGACCGACACTGGAGACGAAGATGCTGCCAGGATTGTATTTAGCTGGTCAGATTAATGGCACCACCGGATACGAAGAAGCCGCGGCGCAAGGCATTGTGGCTGGTATGAATGCTGGACTAAGTGCTAGGGGACTAAAGCCGCTCGTTCTTGACCGTGCCGACGCGTTCACCGGAGTGCTCATCGATGATCTCATCTCGCTTGGCACCACGGAACCGTACCGAATGTTTACTTCGCGGTCAGAGTATCGTCTGCTGCTTCGTGCAGACAACGCCGATCTGCGTCTTACTCGCAAGGCGTTCGATCATGGCGCTGGTATTTCACGTGAGCGCATGGAGAAGCTGGAGCACAAAGAAAAGTCAATGGAATACGCCCGTAAGGCACTAGATGAATTTGTGCGAGACCCTTACGAGTGGAATCGCCTTGGTGTCAAAGTGGGTCTCGACGGAGTGAAACGTAGTGCTGCTCAGGTTCTGGCGTTTTCTACTGTGACTCCGCACGATATTGAGTGCATTTGGCGTGACGTTGGGTACGAGCATGCGAATGCATTACCCGACGAAATCAAAGAGCTTATAAAGACAGAGTGTCTCTACGCAACGCAACTACGTGCCCAGCACCAGGAGATCCGCGTATTCCGCGATAAACAACACGTACAGATCCCGACGTGGGTCGACTACTCTGAGCTACTTATGATTTCAAACGAGGAAAGGGAAAAGCTTCATCATGCACAGCCGACCACAATATATGCCGCCAGTCGCATTGCCGGCATCCGTTCATCAACGCTATTGCTACTCTACCAAATAGCCATGCGTCAGCTACCCGATGGACAAACGAAGAAGCAGCGTAGGCGCAAGGCCATTGCTGAACATGCGGCTGGCACCGAATAAGCAATAACTATGCCCAAAACCGAAGGGTCTAAATCATCGACTACTGTCGATGCAAGACGCGTAACATGTACTTCTCGCAGCGATTTAGCGATCGTGGAAAAGCCTATAATAGCAGTGACCGGTTCGAGGGCATCTACATAATCGGGGCTATTCAAGTGAAAGGACCGCAAAACGAGCACTCGTGGCTCGACGGCTGACGAACCATTATTTGGTCAGGTCTTGTGCTGCATGAACGACTTGCCGACCGGATTGTCTCGATGCGGTCGCATGGTCATCGCTTTCGATCAATGATGTACCGCCCGACCATACGCAACAGATTCAGCTTGGAAATAGACGCTGACAGAGGGTGTAACGTACTGACTGAATTGGCTCTGGAGAAGGTTTCGAACGTGTTGATTCAGTGATTTTAGATCGCTGCGTATTTACTGAATTACATTGAGCTTATCTAAGAACTTGACATAATGACAACATTGAGTCAAGTCTTTGATCGACGACCACAGTACGGCATCAATACTTCTTTGCTGGTAAATTTCCATACAAGCAAATGGCGCTATTATCGGATACGTACGGCATTTGACTGCAACATCATATCGACGATCAGCTCGAAAGGTCGTCCGACTATTTTTAGATGATTCAGCGCAATGATTCGTGTAAACTAAGTAGGTTGTGGAGAAGATAACACCTACGACGGCATGCAATTGTCGAAGCTCGGGAATGTCAGGGCGGACGGATCTTCTATACGAAATACGGAGCGATAATTATCATGGTGAGTGGGTGAGAAGGTGATAGTGTAATTCAACATTTGACTTTTCAGCACCCGATAAACAGCTTCACTGAATGCGGGCAGTGTATTGAGATCGAACAAAGCTAACAGCTTTACTTCTTGCCCCAAGCCAAGATGTGTGAGTCCTGTATCGCAATGTCTCGACCGCATTATGCCAGCAGCGATGTAGTTGTGCTACTCTAATTGATTGCGGCTACTAAGAAGATGCTCTCGTAATAAACGATACTCCGTTTGAATACCGCATTGCACGCATCGGCATTGAAGGGCTGAAAGTGTGGTAGTCGTCAATATAGCGCCTAATATGCGGTGTGATTTACAATTGGTGGAGCAGAGGGGCTAAGAAATTTGATAGTACACGTTACCAATCGAAGAAATGAGCTCACACTATTTTGCCTTCTACTCCTGGCATGCTCATCGCTGACGTCTTGTGACCTGCGCACCGGTAGTAAATCGTGCGTACACATAACTACCTGATTGCTTTCCATACACTCAATGCACTAATCAACTTGTAGACACTGTCCCACATACAAATGCGGTCGCTAATAATTCGTTTTGGTAGTTCCAAAGCTCTAGACAACCTGTCATTGTGGTGAATGCATAAGGACTAAAACATCGATCTCTACAAGCCGTTCTTGCTTTAAGCTGATTCTTGAGCATGGATTACGTGGTCTACCAGTGCGCCACTTACTAGCCAGCTATTGATGAAGTACAGCACAACACTCAGACCAATCGGTCGCTTTAATAAAGTAAATCTCTTCTAAAGTGATTTATAGGTGGAAGCATGATAGATCATGTTGGGCTTCGACACTGAATTGTGTGCCATCATATCTGCCGCCGTAATTAGACAAACGCGCGCTGCGTTCTACATCACTAAGCTGACTTTTTTTCCGATAGTCAGACGAACCGTTAAAGCAATGGTACAGTCTATATCTTCGATGGCTATTTGCCAGCTGTGTAGACGTTGCTCGTAGATGTATCCATATTTCGTACCGTGACAGAATCTATGTGATAGTGGACATAAATCGGTGCCGCACGGCTTCAAGCACATCTCAAGGGTACATCAGCGCAGAAGTCAACCGACTCATTTTAGGCAAATGAGTAGATTGCAGCGAGTAGCACAACATGATGGTCAGCTGCCAATCAAGTACAATTTTAACGCTTAGCAGCGAGAAGGTCTGCGGTCCAGATTTTGTTACGATGCTGGCAAGGACACATAGAATTGATACACTTGAACATCTAAAAATCGGGTATCTCGGATGAAGAGACATGAATATGGACTTGTCAGAGTATGCCAGCCGATCTTTTGGACTATAGATGCTTTTATACTGATGCTGTAATGATCCTGTGCTAACGACGACTGTTTCTGCAAATAGCAGCGAGCCAATTTGATATTTCGATGGAGTTGGAGTGTAGAGCAACTAATAAACGAAAGTGCGCTCTGACAACAAGCTTGCAAAATTATCACCACCGCTTGCTTCGTACGGTTGACTCGTATTTGATGTTTAGAATGCGCAGTGACCAGTAACATCTTTCAGACGTTCGATTATGAGAAACTCAGTTTTCGAGATACATAAGTTTGTAAGTGATTATAAAGAAGAAGAAAAGGGAACGAGGTCGATGTGGACTGGGCTAATATTATGTAATTTTTTTTGAAGAAAGCTTTACTATCAGACATTTTGACTGAGAGCGGGATTGGCCAATCCCGCCCCATCCTGCGCAGGTAGGGATGGGACGCAGGATATTGCGGGACGAGATCACTGAACAATTTGGCCTATACATGTATTTCGTAACGACCAGATCTGCATGCACGTGATCGCCTTCATATGCGCTGAGGGCACTAAAGACTGAGGTGCGTCATCATTCGATACTGTAACAGCGAACTCCTAGTGAGGGACGCTGGAATACCAAGTGTTGCTTTAGTCACTTACATCGCACCTCAATCCAAACAACAAAGAAGTACGACGACCAGTCTCCACTTGCTGAGATGCCTAACTTTGAAGTAAATTGTGTTTACTATCATTTCGAAAGTTCAGCATATCAAACGTAATGTGCCATCGTAAACTGCGACTTTTGCAGCACGAATATACGAAATCATGTCATGTCCATGTCCAGCCGTGACTCTGGACTCGTCCGTATTATGCCACCTTGCAACCATCGCGCGGTGTAACTACATCTGTCAGTCGATTTCGCCTTTACGCAATTGTGACGTCGGGCGTCGCCCGTCTAAGATCAGCAGCCTAGCCAACATTTAACGGGCGCATATGAGTATCTGGTATTTCAATCCGCGGTAGGATACGAATGTTACCAGCTGTCCAAAAACTACTTCCGTACGACACGACTCTTTAACAACATGACGTTAACGTCCGCATTCCCTTCGTCGTGACTTCTTGGAGATAAACTTCGCTGGTATTCATCATCTTGTTGCATTCTGTAGAAAGTCGCGATCTGCATGGGGAGACGACGCTGCTAATAAATGACAGTACGAAGCTCGAGGTCCCATCTATGCGACCGCAGTTGTACATACAATACCACCAACTACCGCCGCTGGATCGACCTCTTCCCAGTCGATATAAGACGACGGGTCGCCCGCCACTTTGTAGTCGATCGACGGACTGCACTCTACATTTGACACGATGAAGCAGGACAGATTTTCGGTAAAAGTGGTGCTTTTCAAGTGCCACGACCTCGTGGCAGCAACGAACGAAGTGGGCGGCACGTGCAACGCCTACGTGGTGTTCACACTGGATGGCGTCACTAAGAAGAGCTCCTGCGTCAAGCACAGTCTGGATCCACACTGGTCGTCGCCTGAAAAGTTCGACTTTGAGGTGGACAAGTGGGAGGCCGAGTTTCTCATTGCCCAAGTATTTGACTACAGTCATCAAGACAAAGGAGATCTCATCGGCTCAGCAGTCATTCCCTTGGCTCTCTATGCCGGAAACCGAAACTGCGAGATGTGCAGCTACCCGTTGGTGCTGCCGGATGAGGTGGGCGGACTCGGGTCACCCAAGAGCGACATGTTCTTGCAGATAAGTCTGCTGGATGCAGACGGTAGTCCGGTGGAAGACTTTTATTGGTAAAGGAGCTTGCAGCGTACGTGACAAGCCGCCCTAAGTTTTTGCCGTATACTAAAAACAGTTCCAGCTATAGCGCTCACAGGACATGCATGTACGACGGTTCAATCTAAATTCAATTTGCAACCTTCATGTTGAACCTTTCTACGTAGATATAAACCCTAAGCTTTGGGCACTGGTGACACGAATAGAGTGACTGACACACGTGGAATGTAGCATCTGTCCAACAGAAACGGCAGGACACGCGGTTACTTCATAGACTCATCCCTTCGTCCAGCAACCTCAAACAGTTTAGTACGGTTCATTGCGCTTGGGAGCACAATCACTGCTATTCCGAGTAAATGTGTGTTGCCTAGTCAAAGTTTCATGTCGCTCACTGCAAGCCAAATCGTTTTGTGTCGCTCACTGCAGTTCAAATGGTTCATGTTCCTTCGAGTTCATCTTTTGCTCGACCTTAGGGCAACACAACAACTCGATGTCGCCTCCAGAAAGCAAGCATGATTGATTGTATTGACTTGGTGCTACTCATATTTACGATGTACGTCCACTTGTCCGTCGTTCCAAGCGCTTTCTAGTGACGAAGTCGCAGATGTACCACGAGTTCATCAGTCTCGCCACATGCTCAGTATAAACAGATTTTATCTCTTGATCGCAGATTCGAGAGTTACTCACTGGATATCGGATGGAGTACTGGAATGTGCATTCAGATCGGAGAATTATCGTTGTATGTGGGTGGCGGGTCCGTTTCCAAGTATGGCATAAGGTGCATCATTACATTTTACATAAAGGTGCTGTGGAATAACGAAATCTTGTGTACTGGATGCCAGTTCTTTTACATTGAGGCGATGCAATCATTACTTGCCTGCCAGTATATACGTGGTTGTTTCTGTTTCTTTCTGTAGTCCCAGCACGAACGCCTGAAGCGTAGCGCCTTCGAGAAAATCAAGTGTGGCGTAAAAGCACAGATATCTTCTGATGCAAGGTGAACCCTGAAAAGTTAGAGGGACGGAAATGAGGGCTCAATCCATACATGTTGCTTACTGTCAGCTTCAAACTATAGAAGGACACATAAACTCCGAAAAAACAAGATTGCAGTATGCGGATCGCCAGACACAAGCGTATCAGCTCACCGCACGGTTTTTGTGTTGCAGATTTACACCCTCTAAATGATAAATAGCTCTTCGTTCGAGCACTTCAACTTGCACCCCGACTGCGTTCGTCGACAGATGACTTAAAACTCAAGCGGGATCAAGTCTTGACCGTCATCTGCCCGCATGAAGATAGATTCACGTCTTGAGTCCGAAAACACGACAAAGTCCGCTGGGGATTTCTTCGACACGGGCAGCAAGATCATGTCATTGCGGTTCGACTCTTCCGATGCTGTAGAGCACTCTGGAATCGAAGCTGGCAGTCGGTTCATGTGGTGCATGGGTAATGGCACAGATCCTCGTCGCGCCTCGGTAGCCACTGAAGCTTTGCTGCTGCTCGATGCTGACAAATGCTGAACTTGACGTGTTCCCACTGCGTAGCTGGTTGATTCTGTCGATGCGGTAACAGCAGCTGCTTCGATCGCAGCCGGTGTGTTTGGCGGTTCACTCTTCATTCTCGATACATCCAAATCGCTGCTCTCAACTGCTGGCTCGCTATTCGTTCTTCTAAAATGAAAGTCGCTGCCATTAGCTGATCCCGCAGCGCATGTCGACCCGGGCTCTTGATTGTAGTGGTCCAAACCAGGTAAAAAGCCGGAGCTAGCAAAGGTGATATGCTTTGCTTCGCAATTGCTTGTTTGAGACTTGATCGGAAACGGAGCAGTCGCAGCGGGGATCCAAGATGAAGCCGCAGTGGTCTGGCTGCGGTACCGAAGAACATCGGAGCGGACGTAATTACCGTGTTGAGGCACAGCAAGACCGCCACATGCGCTGGTTGAGCTAACGCACATCCGAGCGTCAGCGGCACTAGTGCCAGGCCACGATGTAGGAAAAGTCTCTTCAATGGCAGCAATCTCTCTCTCGTGGCGTTGTGCTGTAGAAACCACTTCCACGGACTTTGCCGTATCACCCTCCTCCTGCACGTAGAGCTGTTCACGATCCGTTTTGCAAGGCATCAAAGGTTGTTGTCTCAGAGCATTCTCGTATTGGTCATCTGACGGTCTGGGTTTGAGACCGGCAAGAGCCAGGATATCCGGGTCGCGAGAAAGATCGCAGGCTGAGTATTCGTCTGACATGGCCGAGAGGTTGGTATTACGTAAGTACTGCGATGCGGTGTCGTTCGACGAACGTGAAAATGAGCTGCTTGCTGTGGACATCGACACCATGCTGTGTTTGTCCTTTAGCTGCTGCGGTAGATCCGGGTCTGACACATTACGCATGCGACGGAGCTGATCCGGATCGGACGTGGTGCGAAAGCGCAATGGGGCAGGCTCATTTACTGCTGGAAACTTGTCTTGCAACTCCTCAGGCGTGACCATGAACTCATCAATCGATTCATTTAGTCCCAAACTGCTGGCAGTAAACGGTCCGTCATTCTCCACTATCGTACCAACACCGTCAATTGACGGGATGTACGTCGCAATGGATCCAAGACGACGTTCATAAATGACATCGTCCAAGCTGTCATATGGGACGACTTCGTCTTCATCGTTGCTCGCGCTCAGCCGGTTTTTCGCACGGGCGTGCAGAGAGTTCCCACCATTATAACTGTTTACGTTCACGCCGCTACAGTTGCCAAGCTCGGTGTTTTGTCGCATCGTCACAATAGCGGGCGATGTCAAGCCGTGACGCAGGTCCGACACGCAGACGTTGCAGCCTCTCGCCTCTCGTAGACTGCGCGTCCCAGTGATGCTACGAGAAGCATTCATTTCGTCTCCAGGCGTCGTTTGCCAAACATCTCCGACGCGACTATATTCTGCAGCCGACGACTCCTCGCACTGCGATGACAGTAGCCCGCCAGTTGCACCAGCCGCCAACGTCTTCCCACTGCCGTCATAGATCTCATATCCAGCCATGTTGATCATACTGGAGCAGGTGCTACACACGGACTCGCCACAGAAACGACAATGATGACACCGGCGGAACGTGCGAAACATCTTCAGACACATGAAGCAGTGATCACTCTGCTTCCACGTGAGCCTACTAAGGCAGTGCAGGGTCACTTCTGGTCGCAGAACTTTTGACAGGTTCCCAACACAACTTGCGAGCGCCTGCAGCCAACGCTGATACTTTCTCGCATGCTTTAATGTCGCCTTCGTGGGCAACAGCGAAAGCAGCAAGGAAAGTCGCAGCACATTAGGCTCCGAGGTTTCTTCAACTACAAACCCGGAATTTCGGAAGTGCAGTCGATCTGTGCATTCTGGAATCGGCAGTTCCGGCACCGCTTGAAAGTTGACGCTGCTGAGCACGTGCACACCGACTAATTTGCTCTGCGGTTGGAGGTTAGATGTGCTCGATCGAGCCCTGGCTGTTCCGCGTCCAACCCGCTCCAAAGCCCCTGAATCGTGTCGCGAGAACGCATCCTGGTAGCAAACCAGCGTGAAATCGCGGTGGTTCTCCACATCCCCGAGCTTCGCCTGGGCTTTGAGCGTCAACCAGTTGACCGAGTACGAGTCGTCCTCCGAGTAACTTCGTCTCGCTCCTTCCGCGCCAGCATCGGGATCTGCAGCAAAAGGTGGCGGCGTCGTGCAAGTCAACTTGTCCAACGTGACTCCGTTCTGAAAATACTGTAGAAACACCTGTTTCATCACGAGGCGGAACTCGTCCGTCGTGGACGAATGCAGCAATTCCAGCATAGCAGCCACGTCCGTATGGACCGTCGTAACTGCCCTTACGAGGTAATAGTCGGACGAATGGCCTGCTCCGCGTCCGAATTTCCGGGCAGTCGTGACGTTGGGCGGCAATTTCCGTCCGACCATGTCGTAGACCATGGCACCGTTGCGCTCATTCGCAAACCGCCACCCTTGGGTCGTAGTCGCCAAGATGGCCAAGTCCGAAGCCGCCTCTTGCATCCGTTCCAGCATGAGCGTGGAAGGCGCATGGCCCGTGGTCTTGTTCACAGCCGTGCGGCTCATTTGGGGCAGCGGGTGGCGACTCAACTTGTGGAATGCGGCGGGTCGCTTCGGTGGACGACTGGGGGGTGGTGGCCTGGCGCTTAACATTTGGACGGACGGGCGGTTGAGTGGCCGTCCCTTTTCACTGGGTGTGGCTATGAAGTGACCTCACAACAAACAATTCTGGATCGCCCGTTGGTAGCGTTGTGGAGTGGACCTCGAGGCTTGATGGTGGTGTTAACTCAGCGCGGATTTCAACGCTCAGTTGATTCAATGCAAGTGTGGCCTGGCTGCCGGCCTGACTGCTGGGGTCACGTGCCAATCGTGGATTCCACTCACATCTGGGAATTTCGCGTGACTTTTACTGGGTCGGTGAAGCGCTGCGTTCCAGAAGGAAGAAGGGGGGGGAGGACAGACGTGACAAGTGCCATGGAGAGTAGGATAGAGAGCGGGCGGACGGACGTACAGACGTCAGCACACTTTTTTTTTCGAACGGTGGTGAGGTTCAGGCGTACTGGAGACTGTCGTGCCGTGTGGTCGATTGGAAAGCAGAGTCGAAATCGAAGGGATCGTCCGTGTGTGCTCGGGAGTGTATACCGAGGGCGGATCAATGAGCAGCTACAATCGGACGAGTGATGCCACGACCAGACGACTGGTTGCACAACCGGGCCATCGTGCTTCCAGGCTTGCGTCACACAGCACGCAGGTCCGGACAAGTCACGGTGTATCTTCGTGCCGGAGGTCCATGTGGCACTGCCTCGAAACTGGGCATAACACCTTTTACAGGAGCAAATAAGTGGCACTCACAGTGGGGGGGGGTGACTAACAAGGTCAGAAGAGTGCTGTGAATTGCAAGGCGTTGCGTTCTAGTGTGGTGTGGGTTGCGAACGTCTGACCACATGTGTTTGGCCCTTCGCACAGCAAAGTTGCCAAGCACTGCATCGCGTTTTACTTTCCAGCTGGCGATGCAACTGCATTTGATGCTAGCCATGAGAGAAGTTATACCGGCGTCCTTACTACCGCCATGTTGCAGCAAGACATGAAGGGAACAACAGAATTCGATTGACTTTCGTTTCTCTTCCATTCGCTCGAATGTGTCTGTGCTATCGTCACGCGTGACTCTTCTGTAGTGTGTTGATCCTGAGCTTCGATCCCGCGCGCGTTATCGTCAATTATAGTGGTCTACTAGTCAGTGCGTCTATTTTTATGTATGGCACGTAACGCCGCGCATGTTCTTCAATTCACACGAAAGTCTGGCTTGCAGTCTCTGTTTGCACCGACCATGATGTGGTCTGAATGTAACTGCTTTCTCTCGCAGAGGCAGTTCGCTTTAACGAGCACATTTGTTCCCTCTCAAACACGGTCGCCATAATCGAATGGTTTCGTGTAGTGCAAGGGCATCATTGTGCTGGAGGAAGCCAGTCATTCAAAGCGTGTAGATTGCTAACAATAGCGCAGTCTCGCATAGCGAACGTCACGAGGCAAAACACATGTCAAAAATGAGTTTCTAATAGTAATACTCGACGTCACTGCCGTCACTAGCCACTAAACTGATCTGCAGGAATAAGTCGCTTTTAGGAGCTCCAAACCCACCCACCTCGTCCGGCAAAACCAACGGGTAGCTGTACATTTCGCAGTGTCGGTGGCCTGCATAGAGCGCCAGAGGGATGACTGCAGAGCCAAGGAGGTCGTCCCTACTCAGGCGGTCGCAGTCGAACACCTGTGCAACGAGGAACTGATTCTGCCACTCGTCCAGCTCGAATTGAAACTTCTCGGGCGGCGACCAATGTGGGTTGAGGTTGTTCACGATACACGAGCTCTTCTGTGTGTCGCTGCCTAGCGTGAAGACCACGTACGAGTCGCTTTTGCCATCCACGACGTCCATGTCAGCCCCTGCCAGGTCCTGACACTTGTAGAGCACGACACGGACCATGAATTTCTTCTGATGCCCACCCATCGTCCTCGTCGGTGCAGCGCCAATTGTCGAATTCTGGCGACTGAGGAAGCACCCTTAGAAATACCACGGTCGAAATAGAGGGGCACTGAGCAATGATGGGAACTCCGGAGCGTGGGAAGACCAAGCGTGTTGTGGTCAGCGTACAGCTGTGTGGTGGTGGCGGTGGTGTACCCTTGTCATTGTATTACGTACCCCTTCGTAATCAGTGTAGATTTGTACATTTGCGAGTAACCATTTTTCTCATATCTCGAGGTTTTTCTCTCATGCGAAAAAGCAGATGTTCCTGCATTTTTTAGCTTTGTATTTTAACTTATATCAGTTCTTGCAACCTGGGACCCAAAAACAACTTTTTCGGGCTCCGAGCAAGTATACTTGCAAATACGTTTGGCGTGACCTAAGTCTACGCACGAGCCTATTACTTACACAAACATCATTGATATGTGAGCATATTACCCAAGCAGATCGATTGCCAGTTCTAGTTTTAGATGCCGAGGTCCAGATGGAACCCAGAGATCGTCGCAGTGTTAAATTGGAGCATGCACTCTGCTTGTAACGGGGTTGCACGAAATTATGGTACTTTGTACCAGAGGTGTTACACACCTGAGGGTTCGCTTCTGTAAAGGTGATATAGAATATCTTATCGGTTTGTAGGGGCTGACGAGTGTCAGCCATTAGATACGAAAGATCTTTGAGTAGGATTAAGATATTCTATAGGCTTTAACAAAAATAAAATCAGTTCCCATTTTGATCTGAAAGACACGTGGCTTGCGAGCCGTCTTGATCGTTGATCTCTGATCACTAAGAGTTAGCGACACCTCCTTGAGGTAGCTACTCTTGAGCACTAAGTGCTGTCGATTCACTGAATCGTTAGGTCCCCTGGAACAGGGATCTGAAGCTATAAAGCTTGTTGACTCGTAAAGTCGTTAGTTCTTTAGAACTAAGTTGCTCGTAGAGCGTTAAGTCTTCCTCTGACTTAAGGAGCTGTGTAGCTCCGCTACACTTGGTAGCACTCGTAGTCAATCTACGCCTGAGTCTTTAAGACTGATCCTCTGTGAGGATGGAAAACATCGCTCCCTATCTGAGGCCCAAAAGGTCGCGCTTGATAAGCTGACCGCATCTTTGGGTCCAGAGTACGTGGAGTTCCTTGTTTCACAAGGTCCTGAAGTGCTTAATGCACGTGTTGAAAGCTTCATGCAGTATGAAGCGACCCTTTTAGGGCAGGTCCAAGACCAAATAGCGTCGGCTATGCCTACACGCTACGTGTCTGTACCAGACGAAGAGGCTAAGCCTCGTCCACTTAGAGTGGAAGTAAAAAACTACTCCGGTAAGGAGGGCGAGAACCTCATCCTCTGGATCCGTGAGATCGAGATGGCCATGAGATCAGGCCTGATCACGCTTGACCATCAACAGGTCTCGCTGGCTATCTCGAAGCTCGATGGTAGAGCTAGAGAATGGGCCTTGACGTGTAGCACGTCGGTGGACATAGCGTTTCCCACATGGGAGTCGCTCAAGTTACAATTGGTACATGTGTTTTCTCCACCTAACCAGGCTTACCGCGTGCGCTCACGCTTTCTTTCTACCCGCCAGGGTAAGAATGAATTATCGGACTATGTCCAAGAGCTGCAAACGGTTATGGCTGCAATGCAGTCTGACCCTTTGCCTGAAGCAGTCCATGTGACTATCTTCATGGAAGGTTTACGTACTGGCATTGCCAGAACCGAAGTTTTTCGGGTTCACCCCTCTACGTTTGAAGAGGCTGTGAGAATTGCTCTTAATGCTGAGCATAACTTCAAGTCGGCCAGACTTGGTTGGAACGGATACAATCCTCGCTCTGTGAGAGCAAACTATTCGGGTACCACTGCCTATAATAGGCCGGAACCGATGGATCTCAGCTATGCTGAAGATGGAGGTGAAGCTGAGCTTCAAGCTGCTGAGCAGAAACACGTTGTAAGACGATGCTTTACGTGCGGAAGCACTAAACACTTGCGGCCTGGTTGCCCTTTGCGTAAGCAACGCCAGACTACGAGCCAACACTCGAGCCCGAGTCAGAAGTCTGGCATGGCACGGGGAAATGCCGACACCCAGTAGGCGCGGGGCGCCCTACTGGGGAAGAACTATGTTCTGTTACACCTCTAGAAGGTGAAGGAATTCAGGGCTTAGCCCCAAAGAGTACCATACCTACGGGTATGGTGCGTGGATACAAGTCTGGCTTGTTGGTCGCCGAGGTGAAAATTAAGGGCTTCGAGAAGCCTTGGTCGATATTGATCGATTCTGGAGCGTCTTGCAATTATGCTCGACGCCGTTCCCTTGAGGGAAGTCAGCGTTATGCTGAGGCGCTTACAGTGCATGAGGGTGATTCTATCACGGTTCGGGTAGCGACTGGAAGTCGCGTAACGGTGCCTAAAGTTCCATTGAACTTAGGTATAAAGTTTTTAGACTTTGACAGTATAGAGCGCTGTCTTGTCCTAAATTTGGACTCGAGATTTGATCTCATCCTAGGTATGGCTTGGCTTGAGCGCCATGAGCCATGGATTGATTGGAGGTCTAAGACCTTAGGCGCTACGCGCAATGTTCCTAGCGAAGCTTTGGAGAGTCATGAACCCACCTTTGCTAGGCAGCAGAAGCGCTATTGGCGCGAGCCTTTGACAGAAGATGTCAATGTGCTGGATATTGGAATGTCCGAGTTATCTAACGCCAATGTTAAGAACATAAGTTTCGAGCCTAGCTCGTCTAAAACTAGTGAAACGGCACGTACTCCGTTGAGTGGTACTCGTTGTGATAACGAGTCACTGCATGCTGAAAGCATGGTTGGCCTAGGGCCGAGTGATCAAGGACGTGATTCCTTTGATGTGTGTATGGTGGCACGTGAAATTACACCGAGTGCGGTCGGCCGTGAGAGCACCGCACTGAATGTCGGTAATGACATTTTTGGCCATATGCCATTTAGTGTGGGCGGCCGTGAGGGCACCACGCTTAACGCCGGTAATGGCGTTGTTGGTGATTCGCCATATGGTGTGGGCGGCCGTGAGGGCACCACACCTAATGTCAGTAATGATATTGTTGGCGATACGCCGTATAGTGTGGGCGGCCGTAAGGGCACCACACCTAATGTCAGTAATGACACTGTTGGCGATACGCCGTATAGTGTGGACGGCCGTGAGGGCACCACACCTAATGTCGGTCAAGACAAAAGCTCTCGTGTAGAGCGTACTATGGTTGGTAGTAACCATGGGGACAATATTGTCCCGACCCCTAAGGGGAGTAAGGTCTCGAAGAGACAATCGAGACGCCGAGTAGCAGCTGTAAAGCGCCAGGCGTCCTCACAGTCACATAGTGAGATTAGCAATACACTATATACACTTGTTAATGGATTGACTGGTCAGGTTAATGGCAACGTGAGCCTCGAAACCTTTCCATCTGTGGACGCTCTGTGTGAGCTAGACGAAATGTCTGATGGCGAGTTTAGCCAGGCCTTGAAGGCAGGAGAGTTATCCGAGTTAGCAATCATTAGACCTGATACTGACTTAAATTCTTCCTCGTTAATGGATGAGTCTGTTCTAGAGTATACAAAGGCGGCACTTAGTGCACGAAGTGGATCTTCGATCCTTAAAGATCCTTTGGATCCGTTCTATCCTTTAGTCAAGGAATTTCAAGATGTGGTGTGTCACAACCCACCTTCTGCCTTACCTCCAGATAGAGGTGTACGTCATGAGATTGACTTGGCTCCTGGAACTAAATACTGTGTAACACGGCAGTGGCCTTTGCCTAAAGAACAGTGCGACGTCATTGACGATTTCTTTCGTGCTAAGCACGCGGCTGGAATGGTTCGTGAGAGTAAATCTCCCCATTCAACACCGACATTTTGTGTCAAAAAGCCAACTGGCAAGTGGCGTATTGTGCATGCTTACAATAAGCTTAATGCAGCCACTATACCGGCGCAGACGCCTAATCTAGAAAGGATGTTCTTCAGAACAATATGGCGGGATGTACACTGTACAGTGCACTCGACTTAGTCGATGGTTATTACCAACTGCTCATGCGAGCAAGCGATATTCCGCTAACAGCGGTGAGTACTCCGAGCGGTATGCTTTAAGAGTGGCTCGTTATGACGCAAGGGCTATCTAACGCCCCGGCTACATTTAACCGGTTGGTAACGCAACTATTCAGACCTCATCGAGGCTATGCACAAACGTACTTTGATGACATTTTTGTCCATAGTCGTGCAATGAATGGGCGATCAGATGTGGATAACCACATTGATCATTTACGAGCTGTGCTCGAGTGCATGCGAACGAATAAGCTGTATGCGAACGCATCGAAGTGCATCTTTGGTGCAGAAGATATTCCCTTTCTAGGGTGCTTCATTGGGAAGCGAGGCCTTCGAGCGGATCCCGCTAAGGTAAAAGCCATAGTCGATTGGCCAGTCCTCAAGAACCAAAAGGACTTGCGTAAGTGGCTTGGCCTTGCCAATTACTTACATAAGTACAGTGCAAATTACGCAGATATGGCTCGGCCATTGTCCAATCTCCTTAGAAAGGATGTGGATTGGTGTTGGGGTAACACCGAACATAATGCTTTTGAAGCAGTTAAGGAGAGTCTCCTTCATGCGCCAATATTGGCTTTGCCCGATTCTGGTCGGCCTTTCAGTGTCGTCTGTGACGCATCTGACTTTGCCATAGGCAGTGCTCTGTTACAAACAGATGTCGACGGACGCGAACGCGTCATCGCATTTGAATCTCGACAGCTGAAAGCTGCTGAAAAGAACTATCCTGTTCATGACAAAGAGCTACTTGCTATGAAGTACGCTCTTGTCAAATTCAAAGTCCATCTGCTTGGCTCGAAACCATTTGTGATCTATACCGATCATGCGTCATTGCGCACTGCGACACAGTCGCCTCATCTCTCACAGAGAATGGCTCGTTGGCTTTCTTTCTTTGCCGAATATAACTTCGAGGTGAAGTACAAGCCAGGTAAGCAAAACGCTTTGGCTGATGCGCTAT